TTGTTTTTTTGCCCCTTTTCTCCCCACCCCCACCACCCCACCTCTTCCGGAAGCTACTCACTAACACTATACAACTTGGTTTTGGTATATTTGTATCTTGTTGTGTCGTCTTGCAACTTTGTCATTATTATGCAGTCCAATATTAACTAACAACAATTCGTGCCTCATGTCTTATAGAATATTGTCCAATTATGCATTATAATAATCCGTCTACCTATTTCACCCGTAGAACTGTATCATATCTTAGACAGTGCACTCTGATGTAGTTCCGGTTCACATTGGAAAGCCAAATGAAGGGCATTTTTTAAATTAGGGTGGGTGGGGGGCGCAAGCTCAAGAGTAAAGTGAGGCATTTGATCTACTCTTCTCTTGAGCATAACGGCGCGGCCCGTGACGCGCATACTTTATATCAAGGGATTTGTTTAAAAATAACAATTAGAGAGCCAAAAACGTCAGCCATGACTGTATGCTGTCTATGAGTACAAGTCTATGATTTCACCACAATTTATACGATCGTGGTCAATACTGCCCCATCATGTCCTTCCACATTTTGCTACGACTTATCACTTTTTCAAGCACAGCAGTTTGCTTTCGGCCATTTATTTATTGTACGTGTATTTAAATACCCATCGTGTTTCCTTTTGTTAACGTTTCTTTGTTGTACATAAACATCTAACCTTTTCCCTTTTGTTTATGTTTCTTTCTGTATATGAATAACTATTGTTTTCCCTTTGGTGTGCGTTTCTGTCTTGTATTTGAATAATTATTGGGTTTGTTTGTTTGTTGTTGTTGTTTTTTGTTTTTTTGTTGTTGTTTTTTTTGGGGGGGTGGTTGGAGGTTTTTTTTGGGTGGGTGGGTGTTTTTGTTTTTTTCCTTTTATTTACAAGTAACTGCGCGATACGGCGTGGCACTTGCAGGCTTTTCCGCACACTTTTGATCCACAGGTTTAAAATTGTAAACAAAATATCGCAACGTTGGAGTTAGAAGGAAAGCAGTCTTCACGTTAATGAATATATTATAGTCGTTATTATTATCAGTACGCGTGGTCGGTAGTGCATTGTAGTACAAAACCTTAGTCCAGTAAAGTTGCACTGAAGTACTTTGTTTGGTGCCACTTGGCAATCTACTTTTGATGTTATTGTTCTACTTGACGGTCTACCACCAGACCAGTCCGACAACTTCTACTGGACGGTCTACTAGTGTACCTGTAAGGATGGGGATAGGGATAGGGATAGTGTGACGGTAGGGTTAAGAGATAGGCTAGATCAGGATCTGGGTTTGGGTTTCGGTCCTTACGGCCGCCTTGATCTGTTAACTCACCACAGATAGACCGTGGTCAATCAGGCAGGACTTACGGTAGAACGGGTTTTTTGTTGTAAACCATCAAGTGGACTGGCTCCTTTGTTTTGTCCTTCTACATCGGTCTAACGTAACTGACGCAATATTATGTACACATACATAAATTATGGATTTCATTTCCTCTTATCTGTTGTAGGTACTTTTCTTTCTTCAAATAATATGTAACCTTTTCTTTTCTTTGACGCACTTTAACCCTATTTCTTTTCTTGAAGCTGATGACAGCCAACTTCGGAATACATGTAGTAGATTGCGTTATTATAAACATAGAAAGTACTGTATATGACAACGGTATAATCAGGTCGAGCCTGCTCAACGACCATCTATCCAAGACAATCACCTGCACAACTGGTCGCTTTTAAGCCTTGAACAAGAGGGCTATCCCGAAAAATACTGTTTTGAGAAAATCGAGGGTAAAGTTTTTGCCCCTTGTTCAATTTCTTTAAAAGAGTAGACAAGGAGAGTTTTCTCTATAACCAAACAAGTACACACACCAATGAAACCAAACTCCTCAAATAGTCAGGGCAATACCCACTTTTGGTATGGGTCAAGATTTCTGGATACCCCCGAAATCTGGGTTAGCCCGCTTGTCTTTAAAGGCGACCAACTGAACACTTCCCACTCCCTATTGTACCTTTTCTGTATTATAATGACACTGTTCAAGAAAACCGCCTGTCTAAGACGACCATTTTTCTCCTCGACGATGGATGTTCGTCTTGGAGAATTTCGACTTTACTTTTCTTCTTTCGAAGATGTAACCTTTTCCCCTTTCTCCTTGATGCACTTTAACCCCGTATTTCTTTCCCTGAAGCTTTTAACCGTCAAATTTGGAATAGTAGAATAATAATATAATAATATTACAAACATAGGAAGCACCATTATAATTATATCACAATGGTATAATGCAGTTTGTAATTATTTATTTCATTTTCACATGCCCTGTCTAGATTCATGCACTTTTCATCTTTCCATGACGCGCTTTAACATTCCGTTTCATGGAGCTTCTTTAATGTAACAGTCAAAGTTGGGGTAGATGACCGTACATTGTAATAACGTAGAAAGCACCATAGGCCTATTACTGCACAACGCACGGTATATTTATTGTGCATATAAGTCGAATTGTTACCTTTTAGGTTAAAAAATGTTTGAGGTGTGAAATAAGCATATTTTTAGTTCTCTTTCATCTTTTGTAAATATAACTATAAAATGTCTCAGCTCTCTCTCTCTTTCTCTCTCTCTCTTTCTCTCTCTAACTAATTAAATAATTTTGAGTCTAAATTTTGTCGATAGTGTCATAAAGCAAACTCAATAAATCAATCAGTCAGTCAATCAATCAATCAATCCGTAAATCCTTCTATCCATCTATCAATCAATCAATAATTCAGTCAGTCAATCAGTCAGTGCATCAATCCGTCAATCAATCAATCCTTTCACCAATCAATCAATCAATCATAAAACTAATTCTGCTTCTCGTTTCTCCCCCCCCCCCTTACAGAGGAGCTCTACTCCTGCTTCCCAGAGCCCGACCCAGATTACGACGGCCCTGACGTCCCCGATGAGGAGGAGGAGTCTGGAGACTTCCCGCCCCCTCCCCCGCCCCTCACAGCCGAGCAGCTCTCAGAGGCCGTCTCACAGGCCCACGACTCGCACGTAGCCAATGGGGACATCGCCTCGGCCTCAGACGACCCCGCCTCCGGGGAGGAGCCCGGCATGATCCGACCCAAGCCATTGGCTAACCCATGCGTGGAGTCGCGGGAGCGGCAGGCGCTGCACAAAGAGTTGCTCATGAACTATAAAATGTATGTCCTAGTGTGTGTGTGTGTGTGTGTGTGTGTTTGTGTGTGTGTGTGTGTGTGTGTGTTTGTTGTTGGCTGGTGCTCTGGTGTAGCTCAAGTTGGCTTCTTCCTTTCTTTCAAGCATCTATCGTCTTTATCCGACCACCATTTTTGTTTGTATGTTACTCTCTAGTAGAAACGGGTGCTCTGGTATGGTTTGCTTCTTCTTTCCTTTCAAATATCTGTCACCCTTATCCCTCTTCCTTCTTTTCTTTATACGTTACTCTCTGGTAGTAACACCTCTAATATTTAGCACTTATATGATCTATTTGTATTGCAAGTGCAGTAAAACTCTTACTAATACTAATATTAAACTGGGGTGTACAGTCTAATGTTGCGAATTGTCTTGCAAACTCGATTTCCGAATCCCAAATCCTGCAATCTCCGATTGCGAGTCCGGTAGCCTAACTACTGGGCTTTAATTTTTTTCCGAAGGGCTTCTCATTGCAGTCTATAACTGAATCTGTCATATCTCTGACGAATTCTAAACCTATATATTATTCTGCCTCCTTCTTGACCTTTTGTTGAAAGAGATATATAGCCTAACAATAATGTACATTGCAGGATTGGAATAACATACCCATGTCCAAAGTGTTGTAAAAGTCATACTGTCTAGTCTCCTTCTCACCCACCCTCACTCCAAATCCCCTTTATAACCTTTTGTGTACCCTCATAGCTTATATTGTAGATCTAGAAGATGCTGACAAAGCACAGCCAAGTTAATGGCCATTTGTAGATTTTCTGAAGTCATTAACATAAGTCAAGGGATTTGAACTGCAGTCCTATGGATTTTGCAGCCATTGTGTTCTTCTTTGTTGTCTAGGTCACAGTGACCAAACAGAAATATAGGAATAGGAAATTCAGTTTTTCAACAGTAAATTCTGTATGTTAACATTTTATATCCCACTGACCCTATGCATTTGTTTTAGTGTTTAGTGTGATATTGCATAGGTTTAAAACTCTTTGACTTACCGAAAGGTTATTTTAAGAATTTAACATCCATCTCTGATAGGACTGATTCTATTGGGAAAATTCGTGACAAGTGTTTTTCCCAATGACACAACGTAGGACCAAACTAAGTTTCGAACCTCCAAACACACAATCTCTTTTAGGGGATGGGCTGATTTTACCATGCCTGTCAGGACAAACCTAGGGATTAGTAAGATATGACACTGCCTCTGGGCACTGCAGTGTGGTCTGTTCTTCTTCTGATGTTCAGTTTCCAGTCAAAATATGGTTGTGTCTTTTTTTTACCAGTGGTGAACTTTATTTGTCAATGTAAAAAAAAAAAAAAAACACCAAAAAACAATTTTTCCCTTCTTGTGGGTGGTTGATGGGTGCTCTAGTATGGTCTTCTTCTTCTTCACTATCGAACATCTATGGTCCTTAACTCTCCTCCTTATTTCTGTTGCATATAACTTTCTAGTAACACCTCTATTCTTTTGCACTTATATGATATATATGTATGGCAAGTGCCATAAAACTCTTTCAAAAACTATTTTTAAAATACTTTTTCTTCTTTGTCTTTGCTCATGCAGTGGTAAAGATATCCTTCAGAAGCCAGAATTAAACAAAGTGTTACGAGAGCGGAGGGAGACGCAGCGCAAAAAGGAGTGGGACGAGCAGAAGGTGATAAAGGACAGGAGCAGTCTGGAGCTCAAGCTACAGGAAAGAGCCAACAGGATGAAGGAGGTGAGTTAGACTTACTTACGCTCTGTAAAGGTGTGGATGGTCGATATCAAACAGGATAGACCACGGATACCCTAAATATAACACAAGACACAGAACAACCAACGCGCCATGCATGTTGCCACACGCCCAGTGCTGTTTTCTTTTAATGAAGAGCTCTCCTCAAGCCTGAACAGTAGTTTCCCTTGTAGGGCACACAACAACATAACACCAAAATATTATAGTCCAAAATATAATACTGTTACACATACTATCGCCCTGTACTGTCGGGTACACAAAGCAGAGAGCTGGGGACGCCGTGCTTGTCTTTCCCTGGCCACTTCCTTTAACTTTGTCACATTCAGCTCCTGGATGATTGCCTCATCTCTGATCATGCTCCTATAGCTGTTAATTGGTCTACCTTTTCTCCTTTTTATACCATTTGGTCTCTAGTCTCATAATGCAGTCTTGTCTCTGGCATTCTCGAAACATGTCCCAAATATCTGCATTTTCTATGGAATAAGAATTAAAATGACTTGTGGCTTCTGCTGTGGCCAATGAGACCAATTCTGGCAGAGAAGAGTTTGCCACATTTTGAGCGTTTAAAAGCTTCATTTCTACTTGTGTATGTGCACAACTTGCGGGCCTCTCTCTGGGCTTCAACATTTCTAATTCATAAAGTCTTATATTATGCTGCCCTCAGTGATTACTGCTCTTCAACAGTGTCTGTCAGAATGTTCCTAAATTATGTTTCAATTCCAACTCTCATCTCGAAATATATTGTCAAAAGATGTAAGCGTTCTGTTTTTAGGAGGAGGAGAAAAGCATGTAGGTGATGCAGGGGGTCTCTGACCTTTAGATAATATTAATCCTTTATCTCCAGCAAGCCTCTCCCAGCGGCTCGCAGTCAGAGCCCCGGCCGCTGTCAGCAGCTCGGGCACATTCTTTTACGACGACTTTGACATCAAATTACTTTTCGGCAATTGCCGAAAACAGGTCTCTTATTCCAGAAGTTCATTCATTAGATGAAGGCCTATCAAAATAGGTTTGCTAGTTTCTATTTAATGATCCATTTAATGACGTTTTTGTCATTTTTAGATTCAGCACCAAAAAAGGGCCCCTGCGAAGTGGGTTTACCCCCCTCGGAGATAAAGAGTTAAGTCATGTTAAGAAGGACTTAAAACTCCAATTGTCATCTCAAAATAATTATGGTGTCAAAATATGATTGTCCTGTGTTTTCAGGAGGAGGAGAAAGGCATGAAAGTGATACAGGAGGACACACAGGCCCCAGAGTTTGTCCGCATGCATCGCAAGATCACCAAGCCTGGCAACGAGACCGAACAGAGTTGAGGACGAGACGAACCTTGACCTCCTCATCACAGCATACTTTGACCAGAGCAAGCACGTCCTGAGAAACTCCTTAGTGAACTATAACGGCATATGTCTGTGGTGACCTTGACATTGGATTGTGTGACCTTTGACCAGAACCCACATGTCCTGGGAAAAGTTCTTTGTGAACTATTTCGGACTGTGTCTGTGGTGACCTTGACATTGGGTTGCGTGTGGAGCAAGCATAATGACTACTCTGGAAACAGGTGTACCCCTCAGGGAGATGGCGACCTCTGGTTTGGTTCGCTGTCTGTGGAAGACGCCAAAAAACTTTGCTTTCCAGGAAACTATACATATGTGCACAGCTTGCTGCATTTCCTGATATATGTTCCTCCCGAAGAGATCTGGTTCAAAATGTCAAGCTAGCATGAAATATCTTAGCGGTCGTCGACATGGAACATATTTATTTGTGGCCATCAACATGAATATATATATATATATTTGTGGTCGCAGACATGATATGTATTTGTGACGGTCGATGCGAAATGTATTATTAGTATTAATGAACATCGACATGAAATATATTAGTGAATGTCAACATGAAAAAAACGGAGGCTGTCAACATGAAATATATTTGTTGACATCCTTTCAAATTTTCTTATTTGATGTCTACATAAACTGTAATTAAAATGGCTGTCTACGTGAAATAGTGTATATTCCTACAGGTTTCTTGTTGGCAGCCTGCATAAAAACCACATCTGTGGAGCAAGGATTGTAGACTTCAACAGTTTTGTACCACTGAATCTTGAAGATGATTCTATTTTTCTAAGCATTGTTCCTTTTTGATGGGCAATGTGGGGTTGTTTTTTTTTTGTGTGTGTAAGATGTTTCAAGGAAAAATAACTGACTGTGACAAGAAGGAGCTGGAAGAGGGGGATTCCAGTGTTGTAGTCAGATAAATGCATTCAAGTATAAGGATGAATGTTTCTATAGCAGATGAAGTTGCGCCTGAAAAATTCTCAGTTTTTCATACAGTTTAATACTTCATTGACGAAGTTTTGAGCCACTAACTTTTTGACAAGGTTTTTTTTGTATGTTTTTTTGTCTTGGTGTATATATTATCCCAGCGTTGAAGAAAAGCGTGCTTAAAGGAAAATGCGCTTTTGCACATGTACCACATATTATATTTTATGCAGTCTCAAGATTGAATTTTTTTTAAGGATGAACTTAATTTGGTGTTATAATGAAATCTTGCTGCTCATTGCAAATGACCTCATCCAGAGTGGTTCCATATGATGCTGCACAACCACATATTGCCGCCCTGAAATAACACTCTCTTGAAGGGGGGGGGGGGGGGGATTTCAGACCCAAAAACAAGTATTTGCTTTTAGCAATTATTTTACAAATGATGTTGCGAATAAGTTATATTCAGAGTTGTGTAGTATTGATATTACTTTTTGCAGTAATTATCATGAGATGCTCCTCGCTCTAATTAGGATGATATGAATATTTAAAAACTGCAAAATCGTAACTTCATCATTAGCTTTTCTCACCTCATGCTGGAGTATAGGCCACCAACAAGAGCTCTCTGTTACTTCTATTTTGGGCTGTATGTAGTCTCCTCCACTGTTCAGCTGTATAGTGTATACCATCATTGTCAGGTCTGAATCTAAGTCCCTCCTTCTAGAAAAAAATTTCCCTTCTGGATAATAAAGTATTATCTTATCTTTTAGGCCATTCCCTCTTTCTTTTTTCCCTATGGATTCCCATACGGTCAAATGTTAAAAATTGCAGAATCATTTCTTACGGTAGTGTTATTTCTGTCTGCCAATATGTTGCCTCGTTGTGAGCTGTGTGCTGGTAAGCTCTTCCTGAGCTTATGTTACTCTGTTCCCTCTCCATTGGATCTTTTCTGTATGTTCAATATTCAGAAATTAGTCTAATTTTTGGTATATGATTATATGGTCAAACCTGTCAAAGAAGACCACCCATTAATGTGGAGAAATGTTTTTATCTTAGACAAGTGGTCTCTTGGACAGAGTCATTACAAAAAAGTGTGCCCATTTGACCTTATGCAGTTGCAAGCGCCGTAAAACCCCAGACTAATCTAACTAAATGTAGAAAAGACTCAAGGGGAGAAATGGTCATTTGAACAGGTGGTTGTCTTGGACAAGTGTTCGTTTGAGCAGGTTCGACTTCATTTTACGTTTGTTTCTAAAAAGATAAACTTGCATAAATTTCAAAGTTTACTTTGGATTTTCTCCTGATGGCTTACCCGTGTATCTCACTAGCTGTTGAGTTTTTGCTGGTGAAGGGGAGTAGCTTCATTCTGTTTTGGGTTTTTTGTTTGTGCCATTTGAAAATTTTGAGGTGGTTAAAGGAGAGTATGTTTGCTTGATTGGTTTCATTAGTTTTTTTGTAATAATTGGTGGGATTCAAGTGGCATTGGTGGTCTAGTAGCTAGTTTGTTGGGCTCCAAACCTAAAGGTCATAGGTTCGAATCGTGTCAGGGTCCTGACATTGTGTCTTTGGGAAAGGTACTTAACGAGAATTTTCTTCTTTTCTCCCAGGTGGGAATGGGTGTGCGACTATAGACGGTAAAGAATCTTGTCAGTTTGTCTTTTAACCCTTAATTGGCTGCTTGCACTGTGTGCTTTCAGGGAAGTTGAGAATGTTTTTGAGTGTTCTAGGGTCTTCTGAGGTAATAATAGTTGTAAATTGAATAGTGCATTCTGGGGAGCATGGATATGCAGTGTGCATACATGCCATTTTTACTATTATGATTATTATTTATCTAATTATTCCTGTTGGACATGAGATTTCAATCAAAAGTTATGCATGAGAGAACGAAAGGTCCGCCAAATATAAGAACTTCCTTCAGACTTGATCATTGTTCCAGTGAAAGCTCGTTCATCCACATCATTGCAGGAGACAGTGCAGAGTATTATATTATGTTGTACACTGTTTTTTGTCAGAGAAAAACTGAATAACTTTACTTGACCAGTTTAACATTGCTGTGCAGGGTGAGGGAAAAACAGTGCAGTTAGAAATGTTTCTCTTGCGACATTGACAGTATACCATTCATTCAACATAATATGAAAGGGTCAAGTGAGGAACAGACTAAGTTAGTAAGCTACATTAATCCGGCAAAAGCTTACCTTACTTTGAGCTGCTTTTAGTGTGGACTTGCTTGTTTTTAACTTGTTTAAATGTTATAAAAATACACTTTGTGAATTAGTTAGTTCGGTTTTTTCGCCCGATTGATTTTATAGGGATATTTTACCTGTGCTTTTGTAAGTTAAGGGCAGTTTTAAGTGCCCTGATTTTTTCTTAAAATGGACTTGACCTGTTTTTCACTTGATCCCTTCATGTTTGCAAAAAGTGGCCCATCAGAGTTGTCATCACAAACTTATGTTTGTTCTATACTTTTGCTGAATGTGTGATGATGGGAAAGTTTACATTTTTTTGTCTGTTATGTGGAGCAGTTTGAGTTTGCCATAGATATATGTATAAAAATCACTCGAAAAATGAATGGCTTTTGTATCAGTGACCTTACGATGGCGCAGGTCATATTGTGTAATTTTAGCCTTATGATATTAATTGACTTGATTTGGCAGCAGTTTGTTTCCGTTTTTTGTCGCGTTCATTGGTGCATCTGTTGCCTCTTTGCACTAGTTTGTTCCGTGTGAAAAGGAATATTTGAAATGCTTTGTGACAAAACGTGATATCTCCATAAAGAAAGTGAAAAGTATTACAAAATGATTTGATTCGTAATCAGTATGCTTTAAAAGAGAAAACTCATGAGCTGAAATAGTATAAATTATAATAAAATCTCTGGTTGCGGCTCATTTTGTGACCAAATATTAAAAAGCAGTGAAGATTAACCCAATCCTTGCTATTGCGATCCACAACTACATGCTCCATTCAGCACCGATGTGACCTGATTGGACAGCCCTTCTCCGTACTAAACTAATGCGATATGTAGAAACCCTATCGTGACAACCCTTAGCTTGGTGCGGGGAACTCATTAACTGTTGTTTGTAAGGATTGACCTGAAGAGAGAAAAAAACCTGACAACGGTTCAAATATTGGAGGTAATCCATTTTGCCACAAAGACTTTCATTTCCCCAGCTGATTTGCCTTTCTTTGGAAAAATCTGTGTCGTGTAATTATTGCAGGTCGTTTTTACTGTCAATGTCACCTCTGTTTCGTTATTTATGTGTATTGTTTCTGCTAGTATCGTATTCTCACAAGAACCTACAGTCATCTTTAGTGTAGTGGGTTAAGTGCTTCACTGTGGCACACAGAAGATAATGGATTGATTCCCATGAGGGGAGGTTTTGTTTAATAGAATGCCATGTAAAATGGTATTCCTCTTACCACGAAAAGACTTTTTTCCCTTCTTTGTTCTATACATTGCAGCTTCCCTTAACACAAAATCTGCCTAACATGAAGGAAGTCTTCGGTCCGGAGATGTTTGCGATTATCAGGGTTTTACTGTTGTGTCAGGTTTAGCTATGCTTGTTTGTCTGATAAGTTGTTTTTTCAGTGCTGCCTTCAATGTGTAAGAGTAGAGAACAGTTTGTTGTTTCACTGTACTGTCTCTCAGTTCCCTGTCAAACATGTTCCCCTTTTCAGAAGCTGTGTCTTCCTAGCTATTGTTTTTGAGGATCACATGTCATTTAACCACACTATTTTTCACAACCATCAGGCCCTCAAGCTAAGTGATATTTGCTGCTTTGGTGTATGAGATTGTTACTTGATGACGGTCCAATGTCGGCATTCATTATTAAAACAATGAGTTTTATTTGGGAAACATAAAGTCTTTTTTCTGACTGGCCGTCAAAAAGACACAATATTTTGTGAAAAGATATTCAAAGTGTTGGTGTTACTTGTTGTTCTTGTGACAGGCTAACCCCAGTGGAGTGAATTTTACCAGAGAAGAAAAAAACTTATTTGGTTTCATCTTGCAGCCACCTGGCGGCTTTATGAGTTGTTCAGCAATATTTCTAACGTTTTAGGAACTTTTCTAGTCAAACTGTACACCTGTCTTTGACTGAACATATGAGATTGATGATTTACCATCGATTTGTCAAATTTTTTAGGTTAGCAGGCCTTATCACAAGGGCAACAATATTTTGTATTCCTAAACACCTGCAGTAATTGTTTAAGATGGAAGTTATGAGAGAAGAATATTTTGTAGCTTCAAGTGTTGCACAGAGGGAACATTTTTCAGTTTCTTTTTAATGGCTATTGTATTTCAATTTTTCATAATGTATGAGTAGTGACCAAAAAGATGACCATTCCATTGTAAGTAGGCAGCCAGAAGTGTTGAATATATATTTCCTTGAATTCTTGAGAGGAATGTTTACTGTTTACTCTCAATGCTCATTGTAACTTGAGAATTGACCAATCAGGAAAACGTGACCTCTGAACTTGTATTTCCGAAAGAAATTGTTTGTTCGTCTTAGACGTGTACTCATCGCTATTGGCTATGAACTTTGGTTTAGCAGTTTTTGCAGTCGTTGTAACTTACAAGAGTAGGAATTCTTCTAAAAGTCAGATACAGGCAGAAAGATTGTTATAAGAGGCTTTTTGATATTGATAAACTATTGACAGATTCCTCTTGCTTTTGTTTGTCAAGGATTTGTTACTATTTTACTGAACATTCAGCGCTCATGAGGTCCAAACTGTTATGGTTATGTTTATGTTTGCCACTTATCTCAATGAGCTCAGGATTATATAAAATCATGGGATGAATCAGACTATTTGTAATTCTCGCTGCTCCTGTGTACTGGATGTCTTTTTTTTCGTCGGCTTGTTGAGATTAAATATTTTTTTCCAAGGAAAGCGATGCCAACTGTTTTGTGGAGCCAAAAACAACTTTTAGAAGTCTTCGATACTTGACCTGGTCTCTTCTGACCCTCTGTTTTTCTTACTGGATACAGTGTAGAGGAAGACCTAACTCCAGTTATTTCCGGGGTGCCTTGATAGTCGAAGCAGACTTTGTGCTGCTGAAGCTAGAGAGGTGAGCAGAGTGAGCCTGATTCCCTGAAAGGCCTTCTCTGTTGACATCCACCCCTTGGCGCTCATATGACCTCATGCAGTTATGAGCACCGTAAAAACTGTTACTAAAACTAAAACTAACTCCAGTTTTGTTGGCTGATTGTACACTCTCAGGATTTTACCCATGCTCCGACATGTTGTTTTGGTTTTTTTTTGTTTTGTATTTTTGTTTTGCTGGGTTTATTTGGTTATTCGGGGGGAGGTTCCATTTGTATGTAGTCAGTCATATGTGTCTGAATAAGTATGAGAGCTTTTGTGTGTGTGTGTGTGTGTGTGTGTGTGTGTGTGTGTGTGTGTGTGTGTGTGTGTGTGTGTGTGTGAAAATATTATTTTGCAAAATGGCATTTAGATCACTCTGTCTTGACAGAGATGGACTGAAACTTTTCTTTTGTTGATTAAGTGTATTATGCGTCTATTTGATTTACTCCAGTGTGCGCCAGGACCCATTGACTTTGTACTGCAGATTGTAAAGGGATTTCTGTACGGTACCTCAGAGGAGCTACCATCAAGAACTTTTCAGGAAAAAAATTAGGTTCCCGACCGTATAATGAGAATTTCTTTAGAATGAACAATTCTCTTAAATGAAAAATGTTAACGACTAAGCAGAATATCTTACCAGATCCTACATTAAGCGATTGAAAACAAATATGATGTTTATTTCCTCAGTGTGCAGTGGTTAGATGTTTTGCTTTCGCTCACAGAAGACCCAAAGTCAATTCAGGAGTAGAGAGAATTTTTATAGAGTATCTCGGTCTTTCTGCTGGGTTGTTGCGTCCCTGTCAGTCCGGTTGACCCTGACAGGCAGGGTCTAAGCCAGCCTCCTAAATGATCTAAATTGTGTTGATAGGGGCATAAAAATACCTACCGGCGCTGTGTCTCAATCACACCTCACTTTAAGACTGGTACAGTGCAGCCTCTCTATATCGACATCGTCGGTACGAAAAGAGAGTTGTCGTTATAGAAAGGCAACCAAAATGCTACTAATGATATAGAAGGAAAAAAGCAGGACCTGGGCACCTTGTTGCTTTACAGAGGATGTCGTTATATCGAAGGTCGTTATAGGGAGGCTGCACTGTATCTATCATATGCTGGATCATTTTGCTAAGTTTCTGTGTTGGCCTGTGTGTACAACTTCTCCTGTAGTGTTAATGGGGTTGATCACATTTTATGTCTTAAGGCTCTGTGTGTCCTCTCCAGCAGTGTGACAGACAGTTTTGTCTTTTCAGTTTGTTAACCTTTGCCTGTGCTGCCCTCAACTCGAGTACATTATGTTATACTACTGCTAAAGTCTTGGCTTACCCCAGTACATAAACTCTCCTGCCTTATCATTTAATTTTTGATTGTGTATTTTTTAATTTTTTCTTTGGTAACAGTATACTGATGATACACATATAAACCGTAGTATGAATCTCATCATAGCTCTTGGATTTTTGTTTCAATTTCTTTCTGTCAATTTCTGAACTCTTTACAGATGTATTTTTTTACGCTGATCTTTTTAGGGGAGGGAAAAATGATAATGATAGGAGAAAATGCTATGGTTTCATGTTACTTTTCACTCTATGAATGGCGAGCACATCAGGTTGTGAATTGCCCATTGTGCCTGTAGAATATTCGTACAAATACACAGAAGTGTAACAGCCCCAAGTATGAACTTTTTAAATCCCACTTTGTATAGCAGCCTCATACATGAACTGAAGAAAAAAATCCCAGCCACATACATGAACTAAAAACCCTTTTTACATGAGAAGTGTGAGATACTATCAGTTTGTTTGAGCAAAGGAGAATTGTGTTGACACAATAACAGTCATTCTGAACTTGTTGTTTTGGGAAGTTTTTCAGACTATTTATTTGGCTTAGTTCTGAGGTACCACCTCTTTATTAATAACTTTTTAGTGTTCAAAAGGGCGTTAAACATGTACTATGATAATTACTAATTTCCCATTGAAAATATGTTTCTTGTATTAGTTAATATTAGGCCCATCCGCAGAAAACTAGGAATCAAGTCCAATGAGCATAAGGTATGCGTATTTTCAAACGAATGTTCATGGGAAAATGGAGATTTAGGTTAAAGATTGGCCCTATAATTGCTTAAATTTCTTTTCAGCAGGTCATCGTCACCACATTTCGTGTGTTACTGCAGTTTCATATGTCATGGAGTAACCCATTTCTGAAAATGACTGCTACTTTAGGTCCTTGTAAGATGTGACAGGACTGCTTTGATACGGCATCTTATGCAAGGTGCGCCAAATCCCCTTTGATTTTTCTATTACATCGGAAGTTATGATATAATGATGAGCAAATTGCTGAATCTTATTAAAAATGTCTTGTTTTGTGTGATAATAACACAAAGGCAATGTTCCCACGTCTCAACCCATTCAGCCATGTACTCCTCATTTCACTGAAGCCAGACGGTGAACTGGCATCTGTGGTGTCGTGGTTAGGGGCTTTGTTGTCACACACAGAAGACCAGAGTTTGATTCCTGTGTGGAGAGAATTTATATTGAGTGTCTCCATCTTGCTGCTGTAATGTTGTACATGTATTCCTCTCAGCTTGGGTTGGCACTGAGAGTCAGTCTGAGTAAAAACCCACCTCCTAAATAATTTAAATTGTATCAATGGGGAGCTTTAAACGCCTACATTTTAATTTTTCGAGAAGGTGAAAATACAGCTTTGGATAGGTAATTTCAAAGAGCTTGCGGATAGATACAACTTCGTGCCTTCATTGTGTGTTGAGAGCAAGGCATGTGTCATGTATTACCTTCTTGTTCTGGTGTTATCTTCCTTTTACTTTTCATTTTCAGGGAGATAGTTTCTGTTTACCTTGTCATCATTATCTGCTATTTGTCATGATTATCCAGAAGTATGACTATCAAGCTTTTTTTCTGTTTCGGCAAGTGTTGTGTGTGTGAGAAGTCTCATGCTTGTCATTTCTGCTGTCTCTGATTGAAGGGTGCCGGGGGGAAATATGGGATGTCAGGTGTTTGCTCATTT